CCGTGAGATCTCGTCGAGATAAATCCAATGATCTTTTTCTGCTCAGCTCTATCTCTATTACTTTGGAAACGCCAGTGGATCATATCACCCCCCCCCCCCCCTCTCTCTCTTTGTCAGCCTGCGTTAAAAGAACGGCGAATCAAGGCGACCGTAAAGGTGACAGGCCAGACTATTTGTATGATTTGGGAGAGAGACGCGAGCTTTTTGACCTCTGCCTGTGTCGCACGCCAGGTTGCGTGGAGAGGGTGGGAGGAGGGGAGCTGGAGGTGGAAGGGTTCCACTGCTCAGGTCGGAACCCAGTTTTAGGCTTTTAGCTCATTTCATTACGCACCAGTCTAAGGACGTTGAAAAGCTACGTCAGCCTTGCACAACTAGTAAAGCTACAGACGCCGTCACAAAGTGCTACGCTGATGACAGCGACGGCGCCCTTCAGTGGTCTTGCAAAGGAAGCTCACGCCAAGTTTCTTTTGCATAGCAAAAATGAATATCAAAACGCCCTCTGTGCCACTCAGCCAGCGGCGAGTGGCGCCACATCCGCTTGAACCTCTCGCTCAAAATCAGACCTGAGATTCAGAACATGCCAGCCCACGGCTTACTTTCGTCGCTAGGACACCACAACACCTGGTCGGTCACCTTGTTCATCGTCCACATTACTGCCTACCCCAGTCCCCGCCTGATGCCGCAGCGCGTCGGCATCGTCTTCCCCCGACTCCGGCCGCCCTCCCGACCTCAGCAGGCTGCTGAACCTGTCCAGCACTGCGTCCCCGGCCGGCGTCGCCTCGCCACGGCTCGCCTCCACGCGCCGCATCGCCCGCTCCACCAGCGCCTCCTCCTCGGGCGTCAGCACCTCAGTCCCGTTGGTCGGCAACGCCTGCGTCGCGTTCGCCCCCCTGAGCGAGCCCAGCCAGCCCACTGCGCCCATAAGGCCGCCCAACGGCAGCGCCTTCACGTGGCGGTGGATCTTCTCGAAGAATGACTTCACGTTGTAGCGGAAGTTCAAGCGGTCGATGCGGTAGAGGCACGCGTCTAGCGCCTCGTCCTCCTGGCAGTCCTCCAGCACCTCGGAGCGTAGCTGGCTGCCGTTGAAGAACTCGTATTGGTCGAGCGGCGCCACCACCAGCTGGCGCCGGCGCAGATTCCTCTGCGCAGTGCGGATGCTGAGGTCAATGGCCTTGCGCAGCTCGGCGGGGAAGGGCGTGACGGCCCGCGGCCGGTGCTGCTGGTGCCGGCGCACCTGGCCCGACTGGTCCATCTGCGGAGGCGGCAGAGGCCATGCGCAATGTCATACTGAACGGAGGTCATGCGCCAAGGTCATGCCGAAGCTGTGTGATGGTAGGTAGTGACTTGGTCATGTGGATGATGTTTGTAGCATACAGGCCAAGAATAGTCTGCACAAATGACACGTGTTAGTCATCTGAGAGCCATGTCAAGGTCTAGTGAAGGGCATGCCTATGTCATATAAACTTCACCCATAGATAGCAAATATATGCCCACGTCACATGAGTCCTATCCCTAAGTAACGTGATTTTCTTCTCTCAGTCACATGAATGCCACCAATATCATATCAAATATCATTCAAAGGTCACACACATATCGCAAAATGTCAAACAATGACCACATGGGGCACGGGCAGAAGTCACATGGGAGTCATACAGAGTCACACTGCCATGGGTTGCATGATCACACAAAGGTCCGAAGAGTGATGCAGATTTAGGATACAAATCATACCCGGTCCCAAACACTCTCGCAGAGCGATATTATACAGAGTTTCTAGAATCGAGGCCTTTACTAATGGGGTGTTATTTGCCCAATCTAATCGGTACCCGTGAGCTCAGATCATGACAGCAGAAACTCATTCCTCATAACCCGTACACTTCAGTTACTCAGCATCAATACGCGCTCGGGTGGGGGTCAAATTGATCCCCGAAGGTTTGTTCCAGAATGCTTTCTGAACAGCTAGGCGCATCCCCCCGCCAAAATTTGCATGGATTGTAAACAATTGGAAATAGTAGATCGCTTGATGCAAGAAAACTGATACGGACCTCGCAAGACAATCTGACCTACATTATGACGTGTCCAAGGCCAGGTCATGACTGTCTGCGAGTGATATTTCCAGGGAATCGTTCACGTGCGGTAATAGTATAGTGTTAAATGAAGCCAAATATATCTGAGATAGTTTCTGAGAATAGCAACCCAAGTTAAAACTACAACCCAATCTCATTGACCTAGCGGTTAGGTACGAAGTGTCAGACCGAGGTCAAAACTAACCTGCTTTTTACTCGAGAGCTTGGTTTATGGGGTAGCATCTGATGCTCATTTCGAATCATTTAGTGACAGGGACCGCAATAGACACATTCCATGAATTTTGCAAAGATCAGGATTGGTCCACTGACCTGAAATGACCCGTTCAGCACTTTGTTTTGGGACATGCCGCCTGGCGTGATCCCTGAAGCTTATTTGAGCGGCAAAATAGGAGCCATCTTGTACGAATGTGGTCAACTTGACATCATAGAGGTCACATAATGCCACTGATTTTAGTTGGAAATCATCGGCCTTTTGGTTAGAACAGGTGTCTAACTTCGCGGTGGTTGCATGAGTACGTCTGGGGGCACTGAGGACACCAATCTGAGGTTCGATCTCATCTGACCTTATTTTATCACAAGGTTATGACCTAGAAACGTCAAATTTTGACTCAAGTGAGTTCGCGTGCAGGCCAACTAACGCTGTGAATTTCGTATTTCTAGCCATTATTTTTCTGGGATCTTAGGGGGTTAAATCGAACTCCCCGAGCGAAGGGTATTTAACCAGCCACCCTGGCGAGTGTGTCATTTGCCAAGGCAGATGGCGCCACACGTACATGCAGACCACATAAGCGTCCCGGCTCGGAAACGTAAAGGTCACACGAAACCTAGCCACTGAACTCAGTCAAGCACGCAGGCCAAAAGATAACAGACAAGTTTAAGAGCATATCCGAAGGGAAACAGCATGATTGCCACGAAGATAAGTCACAATAAATTTAGCAGAACGTTGTCGAGCCAAATCTTGACCGACGGTTTGACCATGGCCAAGCGCAAACAATCTTGTAAATTCGCGGGGAGCACCTTTCTCGGACAAAAGGTACCAAAAACTCCAGTTTCCTCGATGCAGCAAAAACCAGACATTCATTTGTTCATTTCAGCGTCACTACCATAACGCTGATCACAACACCATGCTTATGTTGCAACGCAAAAGGCGTGCAAGCCTGCCAAGTTTTCTCACGGCGATTACGATGGCTGCATCAGATTTCTGGCATAAAGTAACGGTTTTTAACAGAATTTTGACGCTCGGAATTAAATTTGGGCGGTAGCTAACATTCACAGGAGGATCGTCTTCGCGACTTCGGGCCATCTCGTGAAAACAAATGGGCACTGAACCTTGCACAATCCGATGACATTTTCGCTGCGTGTTGCAGTTTGCTTCAGAGCAAGGACTGAAGAGCACAAAAATCCGGCGGTGATTAAAGCAAGCTAAAAATAGGTCAAGTTTTGGTATAACTTAGCCGGTAAAAACACCCACGGCTATCGGAGGGAACCTATGGGGCCCTTCTCAATTCCGGTTGCGTTCAGATCAGCCAGTATGTAAATCCCCGTCCTTTGTATCTGTGCCTGAGGCTGTTAGCTATTATTATGATCCGCTTATATATTACTGCACCTGCCATTGTAACGGCGGAGAGATCATTACATTCGTAGGCAGATATCACTGAATCATCGCCATCTTCCTTGAAATACATTCGTTGAAAAGCTTTCCACATCGAAATGAGAAAGCATTGCTTCAAGAGCAATGCGTGAATCACCACCCATCATCTCAACACGATCATGTCATTGGACAGGATTATGCTACCATGCACGCCACCACACTAAATAACATTTCGTTAGAAAACACTATCTTAATGAAACACTCGGGTGTGCAGCGCTCCGGGTCCGACCGCTGTCATAATTGATGTGGACGATAATTAAGGACCACACGGCCATAATCGCGAGTGAAATGCAACAAATGGTTTGCTCGTGAATAACAGTAGCAAGTCAACACAGCACGTGCTTTTACTTGTGCCCAAAATTCATAGTTTGTGCTTCAAAAACTAAACGATCGGAGATTTACAAATCCGGCATTCACGCCAACAAGATGAGTCGCATCCTTTGCATTCGCATTTTCGCAATGGAACAACCCTCTCAGTTATCTACGAATAACGTCCAAGCGTTTCCGCCACGGAAGGAATATGTCTTTGCCATCCGAGCAAAGCCGTCGTGTTGATTCTCTAGTTTTCCTCTTGCATCGTCAATTAGTCGCTTATACACAACAAGACACGATTAGACACGATAAGACACGATTACCTTGGGCAAGCACAACGATTGTCGAGGGAGTAAAACCTACAAAGCAGTGTCCATTCGCTATCCACGAACACACAAAAAAACAACAATAAGAACGACATGCAGCCCAAAAAAAGAGCAAAAACAACAGGCAATGCAACGTAAGACAGCATGAGGGACGAAGAGAAAGAAGAAGAAGCTGGTCTACTCACGTCACTCAGAAGTTCGTCAACCCATCGAAACTTCGCCAGGAGAGGAGCAAAGCAGGACTGAAGAAGGCTGTCTCTTGTCAACGGGAAAAGTCGCGAAAATCGTCCAGCAAAGTCGCAAAGTCACACTCAAAAGTCGAAAGCTGCATGCCCAACCGCATAGCTCGGCTGGTTGGAGCGTCCGTCCCCCATCCCAGCCGTGGCGGGCTCGGTGGGTGGGTTCGGACCGCCACGCGCAGCCTCTGTTGGCCACTGACTGGGGTAACGAGCGCCCGATGACAGCGAGCGCTCGAGATCAGCTGAGCTCAGAACGCGGTACGGACCGTGCCAAGCGCTGTGGCATGTTGAAGACAATTTTTCGCATGAAGATACTGAGCAAGCATCAGGTACGACGAAACAAGCTCACTTATAGGTATTGATATACTTTTAAGTGGAAAAGACTGCTCTAGACAGCCCAATTTTCTGTTTTGAAAATATGCTCCTCAATGCGTCATGGTTTGATCACGTCATCGTACCTTGCACAACATTGATTGAGAACCAATGGGCAGTCGTTCTAACTGGAAATCGTACTCACAAACGCCAAATATGAACGCCTGGATAACTCTTCTTTTGACCTTGATCGCCGCGTGGCTTATGGAAAGACCTTACTATGACGTCATGAATGTGGTGATGACTTGGAAATGCTCTCCCCGAAGTACTCTCACCATTTTCGCGCGAGTTTAGCTCACAAACTAGACAGGCTTAGGCCTTAAGGAGAGCATAATTGTGATCAGCACCGAAAGGTCTTCAGGATGGCTATTGCAGTTCAAAACCTCACATAAATGTGGAACACTCCCTTAAAACTGTCGTCACAAATCTCAGCCGTCGCCCTGAAATTGCACGGTCGGATGGTGAAGTCGGAGCCCACACAGCGGGCGCTGCTTAACATGCGCTCTGGTCCCAGAAAGCCACCCAATCGAAAAATTCGGACCAAAGCCGTCAAAACGCAACAAAAAGTCATGTACACATGAGTACGCGGACGCGCTTGGTACAACGCAGCGCAATCAACGCATTATCCAAGACCGCCGGTGGCCAATGGCTATCCAAGACCACCACCGACCACGGTGTGTGTCGCTGTCGACTGTTTGGAAGCGTGAGCCGCGCAGCTAGTGTGAAGGGCCGTGAGTGGCAGAACATGCTAGCGCCTTGCGCCGGCGCCATGAGCGCCAGGAGCGCCATGCGCCAGCGCCGTGAGCGCCATGTACCGGCGCCATGTGAGTGGTGCTACAGTGCAATGGGCGCCATGAGCGCCAGAAGAAATAAATGTGAACGTTGACTGCTGGAGTATGCTGTGAAAAATCAGACAGTAAGAGGAATCTTAACTGATAAGGAAGAAAATAAAAGAATGAGAAGTAAACGCACCTTTATCACAAGAAATGTTTACAATTTGAAAGGAAACAATTAACAGAAGAATGACGTGGTAAGCAATAATGAGGCAGTATCATGCTGGTGAGTGGTTTTAGCGCAATTTAAAGCCATTTTCGTTTTGTAGTGTTGGGACCGTACAAGACGAAATGTTCCCGGCTGCTTAGCTGTTGTGACTCTCACATATATGACTATGGCATTCCAAGTTCGTTCACATGAACACATGCAGACCTACGATGTCGGGGGGGGGGGGGGGGGGTGAGGGCGGGTAGGGTTCCAATGTCTGCATTTTTCGCCCCTCCCCCCAAAAAACAAATAGAGTTTAAATGGATTCACAACCACATGGCACACACGCCACTTGCCGTACGACAAGCAAAACTCCCACCAAAGACTCGAAGAAAGCACGTCCTTTACAACGTTCAACAACTATTCCAGCGCAACGCCACTACTTGCCGGGTGGCGAAACCCCCTTTCTACGCCCCCGTCGCCCTAACCCCATCCTAAACCCCGCCCTAACCCCGCCCTAAACCCCGCGAGTACCTGCACGCAGCGAAGGCGCCCCTCGTCGACGGGCCACTTCAGGAAGTGCAGCATGCGCCGCAGCTGCCCGGCTGGGTCCGTCTTGAGGTGCTCGTAGTGCACCACCAGCACGCGGTTAGCGGGGTCCGTCCACTGTTGCATGTGGGCACTCCACTCGAACACCTGCTTCATCACGAACGAGCGCCAGCCTGCCGGCGGCGGCCTGTCAGACGGCGGCGCAGGCTCGTCTTCCTCACTCAATGGCCCAGGGTATGGCCGAGATTTGATTGCGCAGCGAGCATATGACACACATTTAAGAAGGTAGCCGTGGGACGGGGAGTCGGCGGCCACCATTCTCAACGACATGCGTAAATAATCAAGTCAGGTCAGGTCATTACCAAGTACTCACTTCAAATGTGGTTTGTTTTTTGTCACAGTCATGCAACGTTGCACAAAATAGCATAACAACACTATACGTAACACCAAAGCTGTAATGGGACGGTAGTAAAAAACAATCTCATGAAAATAAGAAGACCTGTCGTACGGTACAATATTACTCGGACTGAACGGCTGAATCAGGTAGAATTGACGCCGCTTAGTCAGCAAAAAGTTCGTTCGATCTCGCACGCGAGCATCACTACCTCCTGAAAAGTTTTACCACTCAGTCGCGACACCCAACGGCTCGGCACCACGCGCGACGTGGGGAACCTCAGCGCGTCTCTTGCGACATGGGCGGCCTTACCTTTCTTCAGGTAATTGGAGGACGGTGCCATGCCCTTGTGCCCGCCGAACAGGTAGTTGTGGAAGGAGAGGATGGCGCGGTACGGATTGCGCACGATGACTATGGCTGTGCGGTTGAAGCGCTGCGACTGGTCGTCGCCAAAGTCGTGAACCTTTTGTACGATGGTGGTGCCATCTTCCGGGGCTGACATCTCTCCCCAGTAGCCTGCAACGGGAAAGGTGGCGCTGTAGTTCAAAAGGTAAACGCTGGTAATTTCGGGCTTGACTTCGGGCATGTTTATAATGCGAAACATGCTTAAAATGCTAAAAATGCTAAGAATACATCTTAGCTGCCCATGAACAAGAAACTATGACACTCCACAAGCAAAGAAGTCGTTCAAATCCAGACCCGAATCATGTGAACAAAAGGAGTGCAGATAACGTGGGCAAAACTGAAATCTTGTGAAGACAAAATTAATGCACATGAATGGAAAATTAAACATTCGGGTATATCACTAGTGCTCACTCGTATCACTCAAAAAATCATCTGTGGTCCTTTATTGCAAGACGCAGAACATAAATGATACGTGACACATCACCCACCGATCCCGTACAGGCCGATGTCGTAGTAGACGCTGCCGGTGAACACACCGGAGGCCATCTCCAGCAGGTAGCGGGTCCAGGTGTTGCCTGAACCTGGGTAGCTGGTGAGGGCCACCACGGGCAAGCTGCCCCGCTCAGCGAACCTGTCAGCACAGAGGGCGTGCGTCAGAGCATCCCAACACGGCATAGCACGGCATACATGTGTTAGAACACTGCAGTACGGCAGACAGGCGGCAGAGCACCCCGGTACGGCAGAGGCGCCAGAGCCCCATAGCACGGCAGACAGCAATCACAGTACTCCAGTACGATAGACAGGCGTCAGAACACGGCAGATAGGCGACAGAGCACCCTAGCACGGCAGACAGGGATCAGAACACTCCAGTACGATAGACAGCGTCAAAGTACCCTAGCACGGTAAAAAGGGCGTTAGAGCACTGCGGCACGGCAGACAGGCGTCAGAGTACTCTAGTGTGGTTGACAGGCGTCATTGTACTCTGGTATGGTAGAGGGGCGTCATAGTACTCTAGCACGGCAGACAGACGTCAGAGCACCCCTGCACGGTAGACAGGCGTCATTGTACTCTGGTATGGTAGAGGGGCGTCATAGTACTCTAGCACGGCAGACAGACGTCAGAGCACCCCTGCACGGTAGACAGGCGTCATTGTACTCTGGTATGGTAGAGGGGCGTCATAGTACTCTAGCACGGCAGACAGACGTCAGAGCACCCCTGCACGGTAGACAGGCGTCATTGTACTCTGGTATGGTAGAGGGGCGTCATAGTACTCTAGCACGGCAGACAGACGTCAGAGCACCCCTGCACGGTACACAGGCGTCAAAGCACTCTTTCAGCCAGCGGTGTAACCAAGGGAACGGCCCGGGGCTCCGTGCTTCTCCCCCCCCCCCCCCCCCCCCCCTGTAGTACCGGATTTTGTAATTTTTCGTAATAGATGGCTCACAACAGAACGCTGAAAACCAGCTTGGCGCGCTCTCACCAAGTTTTGGACCCTCTCTTGAAAAATCCCGGCTGCCCCCTGTTCCCAGCTCCTTCCAGCCAAGGGGAATCTTACCATCTGTTTGTCGTGGTTGCTTACCACACCGCGCTTGAAATAAACGCAAGATGGAACACGCCTCATACCATACTCTTTCAGGCTCAAGCACTTCAGTAAACAGTAGGCCTAAGGAACAATGAAGCTGTGACAATCTCTCCGTTTCATTTTTTGACCACCTCAGCCCACCAGACATCGAAGCGCAACGACACTTCAGGGCGAGCAGCACACCAACAGTTGCCTGATACATTCCATCTCCACCTCCAGCTGGGTAAAGCTTGTAAGTCAATATATAAGAAGCGCTTGCTGCGGAATGCTGTGGAGCGTGAAGGCCGGGAGCATCACATGACAAGGAAGATAGAACGTCGGCAGCCATGCGCAAATCACGTGAGCAAGCGTAATGCGGTGGTGCGTAAAGAGCTGGTGTGTAAACGCACCTGCCTGGAAAATCACACGGAGACGTGCGATTCATTGGTGGCATTCGCACAGGCCTACAAAATCACACGGAGACGTAAGATTTATTGGCATTCGCACTGAACTACACAATCACACGGAGACATGCGATTCATTGGCATTCGCACTGGCCTACACAATAACACGGAGACGTGCGATTCATTGGCATTCGTACTGACCTACAAAATCACACGGAGACGTGCGAATCATTGGCATTCTCACTGGCCTACACAATCACACGGAGACGTGCGATTCATTGGCATTCGCACCGGCCTCCACAATGGAGGGCGAATGCGCAGAGAAAGAGATGACTCAACCTGCCTACTGCTCATACACATTCGTTCAGTTACAATATTTGCGTCGCCAACGTTACTTAACGATAGGGCACTGGAACCTCTCCCAACGGGGGGGAGACTATAAGCATTTCTGGCTTCTTTGTTTCAGTCGGCCCCATAGGTAGGATGATAATTTTCAAAAAGTTCGTCGCTCAACCTCCCCTGCCCCCGCCCCGGCCCCTACTACATGGCAACAGACCTTGCATGGCCTTTTGATTTGGGGCCATGACTTCACATGCTGCTTGCGCTGTCCAAAGAACAGGGTGTGCATAAACAAAGCGGATCAATGTCCAGCATGAGACATTGTCTCAATTCTTTGCGTAGAGACCCGCAGTAAAATCCACACATTAGAAAGTGTTTGCAACGCAGCGCTGTGGATACTGAAAAATCCGGCACGGACGCTTTTGATTTCGGGAGGCACTGTAGCCTTTGAGGTTCATCAGAAAAGGATGAAATATGGTTAAACAGGGCGTCCTGGGAATGATCATGCAATTTGTTTGCCTGATTATGTCTGCCAAGAAGTGCCAGGGACCTCAAAGTGTTGCAAAAACGGAGGTGTGGCCGCGTGACTTTGATTCATTGATTTTGATATTGTGCGGCCACATCATTTTTTCATGCGGCTACACTTCGATGTCATGCATGACCGCAGATGATAACGTAGCCACATGATTTATCATCTATGCGTAGGCAAGGATGTTTCTTTTACCCGCTTGCCGTCATCAGCTAGGATAATCAGTTTCAGGCACTTGAGTGTTGTGGCGCTGGTGCTGAGTGATTCCGTGAGCATCTCTCCGTTTTACAACTACTCCATCTCAGCACATCACATCAAGGTGAAACATCTCCTTCGAATTGCTGCACGCTACATCCATCCAGCAACAAGCTAACTGGGCAGCGCTCCGTCTGTTGTTTCATCAGCATGGATGAAGAAAGCGTTGTCACTGCTTATGTTACGCTGACGCGGCCGTGCAGCCTGCCGGCACCTTCTATTTCGTGGCTAACCTGTTTCCATTCCACGCGTCACGCTGCCGCGAGCGTTCGATTGCTATGGCACTGGGCCTGCGTCGTCGGATTGGCTGCAATGAATGGCTCATTTCATGGCCCTTCGCCAACGGGGTAATATTTCAGAGGCATCCCATGACTTTGAGGTGCTTTTCCCATGCGTGCGAAAGCGAGTGATCCTTCTACCACGCTGTGGTAGAGGATCCGCCCCTCTACCACGCTGTGGTAGAGGGGCAGAAGAGAGCTCATGCCCAGCAGAACTTATGCTTAGCAGAAATTACGCTCAGCAGAATTTGTGCTCAGTAGAAGTCATTCTTAGTGGAACTCATATTCAGCAGAACTTGTGCGTAGCAGAACTTATGCTCTGTAGAAGTCATTCTTAGTAGAGCTCATATTCAGAACTTGTGCTTAGCAGAGCTTATGACCAGCAGAAATTTTGCTCAGCAGAACTCATGCTTAGTAGAACTTATGCTCTGCAGAACTTATGCTGGCCAAAACTTATACTCATCATGATGTTAGCCTTTTACTGCCCTGTGGCCCAGTTGCCCTAGCCAGCACAGTATGTCTGACGCAGGCAACGGCGGTTAGTTGTCGGGTCGTATGTTCGTGACCCAGGTGAGACGAAATGCGACCTGGCAGTTGACAACTGGCACAGTTGTGTGTGTGCCCGTTACCCTCCTTTTGTAGCCTGGACCACCGGTCATGAATGACGAATCTTGTGGCACCAGCTTTACACGATCTGCCCTGGAGCAAGAATCCTTTGGACGCCAATCCTGGATCACCAATCCTGAGCCACCGATCCTGTTCCAAGAACCCTGAAACACCAATCCTGGGCCACCAATTCTGGACCACCAATTCTGGAGCACCATTCCCGGACCAACAGTGGTGGAAAACATCGCCCGACGTTTAAGGTGCGTGGTTTTGTCCGAAGTTTCAGAACGCGGACGCAACGCTTATTGGCATAAAACATTCGCTTATGTTCGAACTAACGGAGACATTTCTAAATCATGTACCCAGCGCGGCCCGCGTGTTTCTCTTTGAGATACAGGCCGCATGAGGGGCCTATCAAAAATACGATATAATTAGTCCAAGCCATAAGTGCTTAGGGATCTCGGAGGGATAGTAACCTGGTGTAGCTCAGTCATCATTTCACATTTCTTCGCCGACCGGCATGCCAACTTTCCAAGAAAGGCTCCACGTAAGCTGGATCCTCTAATTCCGGTCCACCGTTCAGGCGTCTCTCGACCAAGTCACGTGTTAGCACTGAGCACCTCCCGAGCACAAAGGCACGCGTCCATGTGTAGGTACAGCCTGTGACCAAGCAAACGCACAACCTACAACGCGTACAACGTGCAAAGTTCGCAAGGTACAACGTGTACAGCATGCAGCGTGTACAACGTACAATGTGTGCAACGCACAATGTGTGCAATGTACAACGTGTGCAATGCACAACGTGCACAACGTGCAACGTTCACAACGGACAACGCGCACAACGTACAAATATATGTCACGTATAACGCGTGCAATGTGTCCAGCGGGTACAACGCATAACGCGTGCAATGTGCCCAGTGTGTACAACGTACAACACGTGCAACGTGCAACATGTGCAGCGTGTGTAACGTGGACAACGTACAACGTTAGACCAAACTGGAATCAGTTTACATAAGCGTCGACCTCAACTCATGGTACGCTAACCACCCATGCCGCACGTGTTTTTCAAGCTTGTCCCGAATGATTCACACCCAGGGCTTTGGGTGCAAAAGGCCAAAGCCCTTTGGCTCTTGAACCTAAAGGGGATTCAAGTGAGAATAACTTGCAGCGTAGGTAACTGTTGCCAAATATGGCCCATCTAGTTCAATTAACAGCTTTGGCGCCGGCCTTCTTTAGACCGGACTGCAGAGGGTTCAGATGCAGTTCAGTACCGCACTGTACCACTCCTGACACTGCACGACTGTACTGTACTGTGTCTGTACTACTGTACAGACACAGTACAGTACCATATCAGAGATGCAGAGGGTTCCGACGCAGTCCAGTACCACACTGTACCACTCCTGACACTGTTGGACTGTACTGTACTGTGTCTGTACCACTGTACAGACACAGTCCAGTACCACATCAGAGATGCAGAGGGTTCCGACGCAGTCCAGTAACCTACAGTATCACTCCTGGCACTGTTCGACTGCACTGTACTGTGTCTGTACAGTGGTGGTGAAGACAGTGGTACAGACACAGTACAGTACGACACCGCCGCCCACGACCTGGCTGGTTTCGTTGGCCAGCTGTCAGTTGATCTTGCCATGTCAGTGGGGTCAGACAATGCGCCTACCGTGGAAGGCGAACCCAGTGTCGCTGGTTTTGTGCTGCGGCGTACCCAGCGCCGAACTGGGAACTGGAACTGTTTTGTGCTGTCTTCACCACCACAAAACAGTTCCACAGTTTTGTGCTGCGGCGTACCCAGCGCCGAACGGCTGTTTATTTGTTCAGTTGCGTAGCAACGCTTAAGACAGATTGAACAATTTGCAGATTCTTTGCTAGCCGTGTAGCAACACGTCAGGCGGATTGTGCCATAAGCATTAGGTTTACATACGATTGTAGAAATGCGCGGCTTGCATGTTGCATAACATGGAGTATTTTGCTGCAAACTGGGCTATCACCTTCCTAACCCTTACTTGATGACGAACAGTGGCACTCTTGTAGCGGGGAAGTTATATTACACATTTTACAGGGCTTAAGCTTATAAAAAAGCTTTGTTGCTTTGCTTTGGACGAAGAATCATCACAACTGAAAGCATATCTCCAACACCAGCCAACGCATCATGCAAAAAGTAGCTCAACTTAAGCATCGTCCGCTTGGTCCATCACGCAGAAGTACAGTGCAATACAGAAGACCCGTTATGCCGTTGCCGCAATGGCCTCTCGTATGGCAAGTTCAAAATATATAGTCGTATAGGTCAGAATTTTGCAGAATAACTGCAGCGTAGGAGAACGGTTGCCAAAACACAATAAACCGCACCATTTAGAAAGGAATGCCGAAGCTTTTGACGCAAAGCTTATATTGGTGGATACAGTTCCTTTGAATCGCGTCAGTAATCGCATGACTCACCGGTGTAGCGTAACATAAACATTGCGACGAACGTCTGATGTGATGCGTAGTTACAGCGCAGTTACGCTGCAGCGAGAAGTAGCCGAAACATTTGTCGGTACGCGCGGACTGAATGACAGCTTAGCACCAAAATGAATGAAAAAGAGCACCAGCTGGGTGTTATGTGGTTTAATGGAGTGTAACTGGAGTGTAATAAGGGTATAGTGGGGTGTAATGTAGTTTTTCTGTACCATTCCGGTCCTTATGGTCTCGTTTACAGCGGGACCCCGCAAGCACATCCTGGTTAGTCACGTGACGTTGTCTTTGTTCGCACGTATCATGCCTATCTTGAAACACCCAGCAGGAAATTTATATATATATATATATATATACATATATATTCATACATATATATAAACATGTCACCACGGACCACAAAATGAGATAAAGGTTGTACAAAGTAAGGTTGCATCACAAGTCACTCCTGTTTTATAACATCGTATGCGTATCGCTGGCGTTACGTCTCATTCGCATGTGTTGCGTGTTCTGTGTTCATCTATGTAGTATGTACTGACGCGGCGTTAGAATAGCAACTCGCTGGATTTCGTCAAGACTCCCAATAATGATAATTATTATGATAACAACAATGATACAAGTAGAAGTAATGAAAATAATGATGATGATTATGATACTGGTAAAAACAATAATATGAACATGGATGAAGGCGATTACGAAATGGGCAACAACGGAAAATCCGTGCTTGTCATAGGGTTTGGCTCATTTCTTCTAAAAATCAACATAGCAATGACGGAAGCCAGGCTGAACGTTGATCCACTCATGTCATTCAGTCCTAGATACGTAAATAATCATGACATCCTTTGAAATATTTCACATGCTGCTGCATTTCCAGCAATCAGGTTTCGTACCGGCGACGAAAACATAATTTCGATACTGACCTGATGCCATAATGACTGCAGCCCTCCACATTTTCCCAGGGCCATCTGACGGTGGAATCTTGCAGCTTGACCTTCAAAAGGTCACCACCAGACGTGTCGGAGTTTAATGCAGCGCTGCAAAAAGGCACACAGGCGTGAGATGCTGAGCAAGCACAAACTGAAGCGAGAGATCCTGAATAAGCACAAACTGAAACCATTACTGCGATAATGGTCTCAAAGTTCCCACCCACCCACCCCAAAACATGGGAAGATGGTGCGTAAAATGCGGGGAGAAATCCGCTTGTTTGGATGCTTTGAGGGCAGGTCGGGTCATTTTTCACTGTTCAGCCCCACTCACCCACCTATTCCCCAGCTCATTTTGCGAAACTACTGCCATGACCATTACATTAAGAGCGATCGATCCCTGACAGTATGCTTCTTTTTTCAGTTAATTTCTTTCTTGTCCGCATTTCATTTCCAATGCAACTTTTAGTGTGATGGCAGGTTATATGGAAATACTGCAACGGAATTGGAGAAGTATTTGATACTGAATAATGGTGACAAAGTTACAATAACATAATCAGCGACTGCATTGTGTTTTACAATAGCCACAGCCGTCCGTCGCGATGGTTCTTTTTCACGTAAAAAATCGCGTTAGCTCAGTTCAAAGCACCTGCCTTGTGATTCAGCCGCCCGTGGCGGGGCGGGTTCGAGCCGCTTCCGGAGCTCATTTTTTGCCCCTGGCTGGAATGGTCCGCGGTCGGTGGCATCGGTCGCGCTAAAATTCACGTGACGTCAGAGGTCAGAAGAGACCGTGCCAAGCATTACGACACGCCAAGATTTCGTAGGGAGATTTTTATGTTGACCAGGAATTTTACGATCGGTAGGTTGGTTACCAGGGCTCATGCAACAAGCACTGCTTAGCGTAGGTTCTGATCCCAGAAATCCGTCCAATAAAAAGGCTCGGCTAACATTTTCTGAAAAGTCGTAGCATTACACGATATCAGCGAGTCAGAAGTGCTCGAGGCATGGTCAGAAAACGCGTGAGGCCGGTGTGACAGCATACGCTGGGATTGGCATTGTCCTGTTATTTCGCAGTGACGAAAAGGCGTTTTCACACTGAATTTTGTCGGCATAAGACGTCTTCGGCCGAATTCAATTTAAAAATTACCGAACGGGAACACGACACATGCCGCGCACCGTTTCACGGGGCGACAGCGAACATAGTGGTCGCATGAGTCAGAACACCGTGGACACATAGGACCAAGGAGGCGGGCTTAGAAGCCGCGCCCCCCAAGTGGGGGTCAAAGGCGCTAATCATCCGGCCATCACGTCCCCTCTTTGACCGGAATGCCACGCGGAGGTAAACGTTGGATGTCTGCGCTGTTCATCCACCTCATGGCCCAATTGTTCTTCGCAGCTGGTCATCAACTGCGCTTCCCATGTAGCATAGATCCATTATTCATAGCCTAGTGATTAACTTCCCCTGCGGAGTGCGAACAGACGTGGAGGTTTCGTTCACAAGGTTTCCGAACCATGACAATATATATATATATATATATATATATATATATATGTATATATATATTTATATATATATATATATATATATATATATATATATATATATGTGTGTGTGTGTGTGTGTGTGTGTGTGTATATATATTGCATCGTAAACCATGCAGTCCGTTTGCCGTTCTGGAGCGGCTAAAAAAACTCCCCGTAACCAACCTCACCACGAATGCAATTATTTTCATGGTGCCATTCGCAGCGTCTCGCCGCCCTGTGTTACTAACAGCATTTTTACCTCGAATCATGAGAAAGCGCTATGATGCGTCACTAACAGGTCAAATGAGCAGCAGAATATCATGTTTAGGTTAAAAATGGTACTATGCGTTTCATTAGTTCGTAGCGGTAGCGAAATATTTTATGTATCAATATAAAAATACATTATACTTAAATAATTCGTTATGGTAGTGAATTGTGGTAAAGTTCGTATTTTGGGAAATCGCGATCTTAGCTGAGAAAAGCTGCTATAAACATAATATCCGAAATCAAATATGATACAAAATTATCAGCATCAGTACATCTTCTGCTTTTCTGCTCATCGCCACCTTGGCAACGGTTGGGTCATCCATGCCCTAGTGACAAAGGTTTTGGTACTTGGCCGGACCATTTTTTTTTTAGTGGGTTAAAGCAAAATCCTGTTACATTCGCAATACCAGATATGTGTGTTGTCACTGAACATATTGCAGCAAATTTCGCTGGTTGCATGGGCGATTGTAGATCTAGATTCGTTACAGCAATCAAAGGCATTGAAATGTGTCGTAACAAACTAGGTTTTAACGGGATCTAAGGTTATAAAATACTTCTGAAAATATGCTTAAGTGTAGTTGAAAATTTCGTTTCCCATTGTCTAAACTGTCTTGATGGAATGAAGGCGTGGCCACCAGAGTCTACTAAACTTTATTGTTTTCTCGGTACCGTCAATGACAATGGCCGCAACGAAATGTCTTCTAAAACAATAATGATCCATCATGGCTCTTTCCTAAGCCGGGGCATGTTCATCCGCCAAAAACGTGATCCTGTGGCAAGAGCTGGTAACCACGGTCTGACCAATCATCAGTCATAGCCCGGCACATATGGTCCTTGGTAGCATTGTTCAAACCGATCACCAGCAAGAACACAGCACACGTCGTCCCTCGCAGCACACCTCCAACCAATCATCAGCGACAACACAGCACATGTCCTTCGCAGGACCACACCAAGGGCTCCGGCTACGGGAGACAACCCCACGCGAGAGGACGTGGAAAGTAAGGCGGACATAGGTGGGGAGAAAGCACCGTGCCATCTCCTGGTAGCACAGAATCGTCGCCCAAGCCGCCCATTACTGCGCTGTGCCCAATGTGAGCCGGATACAGTTTGGGCAGAACCAATCAGCAGACATCGCCACCAGGGAACGCATTCTTTTTCTGGGCCGTCGCATAGTTGATGGCTTGATACACATGGCTGTCTGAATATTACTAGTCGTAGTCGTCCTACAGCTGTCAAGAGCAGAACAACGTTCTCAAAAGTGGGTCACCGCTTTGGGTCACTTTTCACGCCTCACTACAGGATTATGGTGCAACTCTTCTGGAAAGTAATATGAATGTAGCCAGGACCTAAGTACGAATTCGTAGTGAGAGGAGGGGAAGGGAAGAAAACAAAAACAACCACTGGAAAGCCAGGTTGGCGCGTCACAGGCGCACGAAATTTCCGTGTGGCGTAAAACAGCATCACATGTTCTCACCTTGCTCAGTTTTATTTATCTACCTCAAACTTCCCAGATGGTGAAACGTGAAGTGATTTTTGAGATAACTCTAGAAGCTCAGGTCGGCGCGCTGCAGACGCGCAAAATTCCCTATCACCACAGGATAGCTGCAATTTGACGGCCACCTTGTGGCGGTCGGTTTGCTGTAACGCCTCAGCCCACAACACCAACAGAAGCATCGCATGAAGCCAACGCTGAGCTTCTATTGAATGTTGGAGGCACGGCTCCCTCCGTCGCCTCCACGCTCCTCCGCCGATGTTCCGGTAGGGTGGCACGATCAGGGTGTATTCTTAGTCAAAAGTCGGAGGGGGGGGGATCATGCAAAAGTCTGAGCCTACACGCAACAAACGGGAAGGCGGACTCCATGCTGGACCGTACCAACTTTCTCCCTAAAACAAGGGGCGAGACCACATCCCTGGTGTCCTTGGATGAGTGGAGCTTCCCACATCGACAGCCGCGCCCGCCAGACTCAGCTGGTGGCGGTTTCGAAAAACCATCGCCACTGCGCGGTCTATGTCGTCACGGCACGTCCTTCAAATCACCCCACAAATCACACGCTTTTGTGAAACGCCAGGCCCGCGGCCCAGGATGGACGGAGGCGATGCGATGGCGGAGTTACGGTGTGGGCGCCTGACGCAGGGGCGCCTCCAGGACGGCAATCTGGGGGTGAGCAAGGGCGCCTCCAGAGCGGCAGTCTGGGGTGAGCAAGGACATCTCCAGGGCGGCAGTTTGGGGTGAGCAAGGGCGCCTCCAGAGCGGCAGTCTGGAAGTGAGCAAGGACATCTCCAGGGCGCCAGTCTGGGGCGAGCAGGGGCGCATACAGAGTGGCAGTCTGGGGGTGAGCGAGGGCCCCTCCAGAGCGGCAGTCTGGGGGTGAGCAAGGACATCTCCAGAGCGGCAGTCTGGGGTGAGCAAGGGCATCTCTAGGGCGGCAGTCTGGGGGTGAGCGAGAGCGCCTCCAGGGTGGCAGTTTGGGGTGAGCAGGGGAGCGCAGTGAAGGTGAAATGCTCCGTGAAATGCGCGTAGTCAGTGACGTTCCCGATGGGGGCTGGCAGTGACATTCCAAATCGGGGAGGGGGGAGGGGGGGGGGGGTCTGTGACGTTCCAGTTGAGGACGGTTACTTGCGTGTGAGGGACATGGGGATGGGCAATGATGAGACCATTAAAATGTGTTCGCCCGCCCACACCTCTGGTCTGTCGTCATCCATTTCTCGCCGTCTGACCAACCCCTAAGGCGTAGGGGTATGAGCCGGGTAGAACGGCTCTGGAGTTAGACTAGGTTAGGCAGCCATTATGTATGCCACCATACACTTTCACCATATGCCACTACCACCTTCCAGAAAATCGAACACGGGCCCTGTGACAGTGCACGTGAGGTGCATTGTTGACTAGAAATAAATCCACCGAAGGACTGATCGTGGCGCGCGCTTCCGAACCAATTCGCAATGATGCTTCAAGTCAATGCAACCGATTATGCCAACCCAACCAATGCGTCCTGTCTGAGTCCCGAGTGTAACGCTGCCCCCTCCCCCCCCCCCTCCCGCCCTGCCATCGCCAGGAAGTTAACTCGCTTCCCCTCCCCCTAAAAACGAGTGAACAACCTCTACTTTTAATACGCCAATTCTTTCCACGCGTCTCGGTATGGTCCATGTTAATTCACGGAAAAGGTGCCACCCTCAGCCCGCCGATTCCGCAGCCAACTGTCAGCCAATCAGCGCACACCGCCGTCAGCTGACTATGACCATCGCCCCAGGCGGCGCCTCCGTTTCCGGAGAATCCAGGTCACGAGCTGTGGTCCTGCCAGCGAGACCGGTTGGCTGGCCTG